GGGGGGGGGGGGCGCAAATGACAGAATATCTTGTTTTTACCAATGTGTGTGTGCATGCCAAGTTGAATGAGAAGCTAGAATTGCTAATATTGCCATAAAACGAATAAGCACATACTTCCAGTGCTGTTGACATTGCTACTTTGGATCAAAGTTTCGGTTTTATTGTGCACTAGTTAATTCAGCCCGTCCTTGAGTAGAAATTTGTTCTAATCTACTTTCCATATTACTCCTAGGGGTCCAAAAAAAGTACTAGAGCTGCTTCACCTTCTATTTTCAGAACTTAGGACAGGGAAGCACACTTCCATTACAGTTACTATGTCAGTTTAGATCAAGTTTGCCCATGTCTAATGTTTGCCAAATGTCTCCAGAACAAGCTAAATCAGCAGCAGAGTTCGGCCAGCCGTCGAGCTTGCTAGTAGATGAATAAGCTAAAGACATTTTTAATCTCTCATGCTCTTTCTTCAGGGATTGGTACTCACCTGCATAAATGAAAAATAGGGAATAAGCGTAGGACAAACTTGGACAGAGACAAAGTTTAGTATTAGCATATGCATCATGATCAAATTATCCAGGCTAAAACCATTCTATGTTTCTAAAAATAAAGAAGGCCATGAAGTTCACTAAGCGCAAAATGGATTTCTGGCATTCCATATTGGCATGCAATTATGCGCGAAGGCGAGACAAACATCCAGAGAAAACTAAATAGTGGGTTTTGTTGCTACGTGATTTCGTGATCTTTTATGTTTCTTTTCTATGTGATGGTTTGCAGCATGTTAAGGACCCAAAGTAAACTTTAGGTCAACCTTTGTTCTCTCTTTGCTCGTTCTTGCCTATTCAATCATTTGTCACTAGATGCATCACAGATTCACAGGTATTAGGTGTTAACCTTATTGGACAGTAATAGAATGCAAACAAGATTTGAATTTTTTCTGCTTCAACTCTATGAAATAAGTTCCACTCAGATATACCAAACACGCCAGTACTGTTTTAAAGTACTGGATACGACAAACTTGGACACGAGGTGCAGCCTAGCTGTAAAACACTTAAATCAGAACTTTTTTCAGGACCTGTAAGATTTTTATAGAATGCTCCAAGAGTGCGTTGCCTCTTGTAAGCTTCGCATGACACCCAAAAGCTTCAGAAGGTTCATGGCTCAAATTTTAAATTGTGCATCCGGTCACTTTTGGTAACCTATTTTGACTCATCATCGTAAGACAGTTTAGTCTTAGTTTAAAACATGGTTTGCTGGTCTCCAGCTCCCAAGTGGAAGTTGCAACACCCTTAGAAACCCATTGTCCAGAGGTGTTTCACGAATTGTAATGTCAGATTTTTAAATACGATAAGTTTTTCACCAAATAAGACAGTTTGATTAACCAAGGACCACCAGAAAACTCAGTGGGACCATGTCATGACTAAGAAGCACTCAGGATACAGTTAATTACATTACCTACTACAATTGATTCCAATATTACGTATGGGGAAGGGTATTTAGTGACAATAATTTGCGGAATGAATTTCTCGTCTGTCTTCCCTTCTTTATATAATGTTACAAGATATTTTTGGATACAAAGTATACATGGAAACTACCTATTAGTTACAAGGAAATATCTAATTAGCTATAAGTAAATAATATTCTAATACCCCCACCCCACCCAAATCAAATTGATGTTGGGGAGCCACAAACATCAATTTGCTGACTAGATAATTGGCGAGTCAGGGATCTAGTGAAGATATTTGTAGCTTGGTGAGTAGTGGAAACATGGAGAAGAGCTATGACCTTGGAGTCATAGGCGTCCCGAATATAATGACGTCCACTTCAATATGTTTAGTGCGTTCATGATATATAGGATTGGCCGCAATCTGAATAGCATTAGTGTTGTCACCATGAAGAGGCGTAGGCTGTGATTGAGAGAAACCAAGTTCTGCAAGAAGACCACACAACCTCAAAACATGCAGTGGACATAGCTTGGTATTCAGCCTCAGTGGAGAACTTAGAAACACATTCTTGTTTCTTACATTTCCAAGAGATGAGAGCATCACCCAAAAAGACACACCACTCAATAGTAGATAGACGAGAATCTGGATAACCAGCCCAGTCAGCATCATTATAGGCCTTGAGCTTAAGAGACGACCCCGAGAGAAGAAGAGTCCACAATGAGGAGTCCCAATAAGATAACGAATAATACAACGTATAGCTACCAAATGAAGATGACGAGGGGCGTCCATAAACTTGCTTACAGTATGAACGGCGAAAGAAATATCCGGACGTGTGATGGTGAGATATATGAGACTACCCACCAACTTCCAATAAAGAGCTGGATCAAGAAGAATATCTCCTTCATCTTTCCGATATTTAACATTAAGTTTCAAAGGCGTATCGATTGAGGAGGCTTCAGACAGATCAGCCAACCTAATCAAGTCTTGAATATACTTAAGTTGATTCAAGAAGATACCATGCGACGTAGTGTGAACCTTTAAGCCAAGGAAGTAAGTTGACCAAGATCTTTCATATGAAAAACGGAGTGAAGATGCTGCTGAAACTTCTGAATCAGATTGTGGTCAGATCCAGAAATAATAATATCATCCACATGTACCATGTCCGCCAACTATAAAACCAATTAGGAGTAAATGGGTATATTCGATCAAGCTTCGCTCTAATGGTTCTCTTGAACGTTATAAGGCTTGGTTAGTTGCCTTGGGTAATCGTCAAGAGTATGAAATCGACTATGATGAGACATTTGCTCCCGTGGCTAAAATGACCACCGTTCGCCTTTTGTTATCTCTTGCTGCTTCTCAATCTTGGTCTCTTCATCAAATGGATGTTAAAAATGCGTTTTTACGTGGAGACCTCAAGGAAGACATTTACATGAAACGTCCTTCGATATGCCACTTCCCTCTGATGACTCTGTCTTGCCAAAAAAAAAATTATCATACCGAATATCATTCGTTTGACTTTGTTTTGCATAAAAATTATCAATAAAAGTGATAAATTTTTTAACCATTATGTCTAGAATTTTTCTCAATTGTAAAAAAAAAAGAAGTTAGAAAATCAAAAACCACTAAAACAAAAGGAAAATAAATTCATTCATTTCAAGGAAAAGAGGCGCATGAGCTGGCAGGTGTTCCAAGTAAAATTTTTGCAATCAACCAGGTAAAAAGTAGGAAAATGGAAAATATCCATGGAAAATTATTGGTATTAAATAGGACCTTATACATTTTAACGTGATGGGTAAATTTTACCAGGAGTCACCAATCCAGTCTGAGTTTGTTAAAAATCAAAATTTTAATCGATTTTAATAAAAATTAATAAATTATAAGTTAAGAAATTTATAAAAATTATGAATGGTTCGCCCTTGTTTGATATAGATTTTAATTTAGGAAAGTTAACAATGAATTTAACCACACATTTCATACGATTCACGATTTTCAACCGCACGTTTCATAAATATTTATTAAAAAATCGATTTTAATTCCTATCGAACATGGGCGAAATGTATAGTTAAAAAATAAAATTTAGAAAATGAGAGCCAGCAAGTGTTAAGTGTGGTACTCATGTTCTGCTCCAACCATTTATTGCACTTGTATTTCCTACCAACAAAAAAATGATGCAAGCGGTACTCTTATGAAAAAATCGAGATGCGTCATATTGACTCTGAGTAAAGGAAAAATCCAAAAGAGAGTGACGAAATTTGTCGAACCAAGCCCGAGGTGCCAGCTTAAGACCATACAGAGAGCATTTCAGCATTTTACATACAGAGTCAGCTGAGGGAAGTGGCATATCAGAAAGAAGTTTCATGTAAATGTCTTTCTTGAGGTCTCCATGTAAAAACGCAATTTTTTACATCCATTTGATGAAGAGACCAAGACTGAGAAGGAACATGTAAGCTAAAACGCTCTTTGTATGGTCTTAAGCAGGCACAGCAGGCTTGGTTTGATAAGTTTCGTCACACTCTTTTGGATTTCTCCTTTACTCAGAGTCGGTATGACGCGTCTCTATTCTTTCACAAGAGTACTGCTGGTATCGTTTTGTTGTTGGTGTATGTGGATGACATTATTATTTCTGGATCCGACTACAATCTTATTCAGAAGCTTCAGCGGCATCTTTACTCTTTTTTTCATATGAAAGATCTTGGTGCCATTAGTATCAATTTAATTTTCATACATCGGATTTAATTTGCCAATTCTAAGATGACACGACATTCTCTCAAGAGTTCCATGTATGTATCATGCTTTTGTGGGCCCACTATGATACTTTTGGAGGTTTAGATTAGTTTAATCGCCATTCTTATCGATAATCGCATTAGCATAAAATGATACAATCGAAACTTGTAACATTTTGCTAGAATCCTTCTGTTAATACTCAAATCATTCTTAATCTCAAACCTTATAAGTCATGTCGTGCTATGTGAGAGTACTTGAAGAAAATTTACAATCAAAGCAACAATGCTCGACGGCTTTAGTTGGAGTTTGAATTGGCAAATTTCGCTCAGGACTCACGGTTTATTGAAGAATATTATTCTAGTTTTACTAATCTTTGGGCTGAGTACACAGATATTATCTATGCTTTGTTTTCACCGGACAGTTTGGAAGCTGTTCAAGCTGTACATGAAGTCACCAAGAGGGATCAATCTCATGAAATTGCGAAGAGAATTTGAACCCATTTGTTCCAGCCTTATGAATCGCAAATCACTTCCAACTTTGGATGGCTGCTTGGGTGAGTTACTGAGCGAGGAGCGACTTATCACTCGTACCTCGTTGGAGCAACATCATCATCAAGTAACAAATCCCGTTGCATATGCTGCTCAAAGAAAATTCAAAACTCGAGATATGTCCGATGTTTAGTGTTACGGCTGTAAAGGGTTTGGTCATATGGCTATTCGATGTCCAAGAAAAATGTGTAATTATTGCAAGAAGTATGGTCATGTCATTAAGGAGTGTCCAATACGTCCTCCACGCAAGACCGGACCAGGTTATGTTGCTACAGCCACTTTAACATCAAGTTCTGCTTCGTCAGTTGCTCCCACCCAAGTTCCAGCTTCTCACGGTTCTACCCAACCTTGCAATGTAGTTGGGCTCTCATGTCGATCCGAATGAATCATCCTTTCCGCGGAAGTCAATCTTTGCCTGCTAGGCAAGAGGAGAGCAAGTCGCAAATTATCCAATGATCCAAGCCATAAGTCGAGAATCCTTTGTTTTCCAAGCAAGATATTTTTCCTTTTCCTTTTCTTGATCAGGAGGGGGAATACTTCCATCAATATGTCCCCATAGATCACCTTTGCCTTCAACTAATAACTGGAAATGAAATGCCTATGAAGAATAGTTCTTGCCTGTAAAATGAATGGAAACAGACCCACAATTCAACCTTAGTCCACGAAGAGAAAGAAGAAACCGAGTGTAACCTAAAATAAAAAAAATCAATTGAAGGTGTAGAATCACCAACCCAACATCGAAGAATCCGGCAACCTAACACTGAGATGCCGAAAATTTGCTGCGACCAAGAATCGTCAGCCGAACCGAGCAGAAAAACTGTGACCAACACCACTAGGTGGCGCGAATCGAGAGGCGCGACGCGAGACGAAGATAGAGACTTGAACGACCAACTGTAATTTTCGTTTAAAAAAACACAGACAATTTGAAGCAAAGCACGCAGAAAATTCGAAGAATCCAGATAGTGCCTGAGAAGCAAGCGTCGATTACTATGAACCGAGAGCCAATCGCCCAAAATCACACGCACGAGTACGTAAATTAGAGCTCCGATACCATGACAATAATTTGCGGAATGAATTTATTGTCTATCTTCCCTTCTTTATATAATGTTACAAGATATTTTTGGATACAAAGTATACATGGAAACTACCTATTAGTTACAAGGAAATATCTAATTAGCTATAAGTAAATAATATTCTAATAATATACTAATATTTAGTGTAGGCAACCTATTATAAAGAGCACATAAGACAGAACCTGCTTCAAAGTATGAAAGCCAGATTTCATCATTTTCCAAGAGACTTATCATGTAATATGTTGAATTAAGCTAGTTATCAGAAACTACATTGCTACTGTGAAATTTAAATAATTGGATTGAAAGTTGGAATTTTAAGCAATGCTTTCCAGAAGACTTCATTTGCGAAGCTCGTGTAAAGACAAAAGGACTACAGAGTAGCAGAATGTGCCGGGTGCCGATCACCTTAGTAACAAGTGCAAACAATCAACAGAAGATAAACAGTTTACCTTCCACGTTGAATCTCTCCCTTTGCAGTCTCACCACCTGCTGCTTTAGTGTGTTGTTTTCCATTGATAAAGCAAGACATTGTTGATACAGGGAAGAAACTCTGACAGCCAAATCCGACTCCAAATTCTGTATGTATCCATTTGTTAAAAGCAATAAATTAACACTGGTAGGAGCAGGAAAAATAAATAACTGATGAACCACAAAGGAGTCACATATATGAGTAGCAATAACCCAAGTATGTGATCAGTTCACAGCCATTATTTCAGTTGACGCTGAAATACATCCCACATGTAAGTAAATGACGTATTAAGTTTGAACCTTAGTTTGGCGCATTAAAAAAAAAAACTTTAGAGAAAATTGTAATTTGTAAATAAGGAAAACAGTAATAATTTACATGGCTATTATTTTCCTGGTTTCAATCAGATACTAAAAATGTAGACTACAAAATATAATCACTACTTAAACATGACTTGCATCTGTAACTTTTGCGAAAGGTACCTGAAGAATGTCAACAGTTCTTTCCAGTTCAGCAATATATTGAAGTTTGCGGACTCTAGATCGCTGCCCAGGATGTCTGCATGCAGGTCATAATTTATCATAAGGAAAAATTTTGCAGAATAAAAGATGCCTTACAATCCAATTGAACATGGAAAAAGCACAAAAACAAAAAGAGACAATTGTTGAACTTCCCATCATTAACTTGATAAAAAAGTATGTGGCATCTAAAAGTTTAAGCTATTAGAGTGGGTCTTCAAGACGTGAGGGCACACACAAGGAGGATTCATTTTTAAATCAAAGACTTGACATGTGCAAAGTTTCATAGATGAGCAGCAACAAGACTTGACTAGTGCAAAATTTGTAGCAGCAAGACTTGAATTTCAAGACCTTCGCTTGGTATCTTTGATTCCATGTTGAACCACCTTATTTTAAAAGGGTAACCTGTTAGAGGGGCATAATAAACCATTTAAAATTTGTTTTCAACAATGAAAAGCTCCAGGGTTTACTCAGACGTGTGCTTGATTATTGGTTCCTCAGTTCTATGGAGAGAGAAGACATACCAGATTGGTCTCACCTAAATTTTTTGTATATTTTGTATCTTTTTGTCGTATTTTGGGAGATAATTTCTTGTATTGATTTTGTGGTAAAATTACAATAGTAAATACAAGATGAAAAGAAAAGAAATTGTACTTTAGTCCCTAACAATTAATAAAGATTACAAGTTGGTAACAAAGATTAATATATATTTCAACTCTCCCCCTCAAGTTGGTGCATAGATATCTCGCATGCCCAACTTGGATGTCATTGTATAGAACGGACGACTAGCAACTCCATGTGTCATTATATCAGCCAGTTGTTCCGCCCTCTTGATGTATGGAACCTCTATATTTTTGGAGTCGAGATTATCTTTGATGTAGTTCCTATCAAGTTCAACATGTTTTGTTCTGTCATGTTGCACAGGATTGTTTGCAATTTTAATAGCAGCAGTGTTGTCACAGAAAAGTAACATAGGCTTGTCCGGACCAAACCCAAGTTCACTAAGAAGAAGTTTTAACCATGTAAGCTCGGTAGTTGCATGATGTAACGCTCGATATTCTGCCTCAGCACTGGATAGTGAGACCACATTCTGTTTCTTACTCCTCCAAGTCACTAGATTGCCCCCAACAAACGATACATACCCTGATGTGGATTTTCTATCCAATCTCGATCCAGCAAAATCAGAATCCGTGTAACCCACAATATCTAAATGCCTCCCTTTTGAGTACAAAATGCCTTTGCCTGGAGAGGATTTAAGATATGCCAATATCCGATTAACTGCACTCATATGTTGCTCACTAGGATAATGCATGAATTGACTCACAACGCTAACAGCATATGACAAATCAGGTCTCGTGTGGGTTAGATAAATCAACTTCCCCACCAATCTCTGGTATCTCTCTTTGTTTGTGGGAATCTGATCAGGATAAATAGATAGGCCATGATTTACCTCAATGGGTGTGTCAACAGGGGTACAAGCCGACATACCAGTTTCTGCTAGGAGGTCGAGGACGTACTTGCGTTGAGATAAGATAAGTCCTTGCTGAGACCGTAATACCTCAATACCCAAGAAATACTTCAAAGTACCCAAATCCTTCATTTCGAACTCCTTTGTCAAATGGCTTCGAAGTTTCTCAATCTCACTAGGATTACTACCAGTAACAATCATGTCATCCACATACACAATGAGCATAGAAATATCACGACCATCTCTCTTATAAAATAGGGTATAATCACCAGGCCTGTTTAAAGCCATACTCTTTCATTGAACAACTCAATCTTTCAAACCACGCCCTGGGTGATTGTTTTAGCCCATAAAGGGCTTTTTTCAGTTTACACACATTACCTCCTGGAGGAGTGAACCCAGGAGGAGGATTCATATACACTTCCTCTGTCAAATCACCGTGAAGGAATGCATTTTTAACATCAAATTGCCTCAATGGCCAATCAAGATTGACCGCTAGAGATAGGATAACTCTAACGGTATTCATCTTAGCTACTGGAGCAAAGGTTTCCTGGTAATCAATCCCATAAGTCTGTGTGTACCCTTTGGCAACCAATCTAGCTTTATACCTATCCATGGTTCCATCTGACCTGTATTTTAATGAGTACACCCACTTGCATCCCACTATCTTTTTTCTGGTGGTAATAAGGTCATCTCCCAAGTAGAGTTCTTTTGGAGAGCATTCATTTCTTCTACCATAGCTGATTCCACTCAGGTTGATCAAGAGCTTCCTGAAAGTGATTAGGGATAGACACAGAAGATAGTTGGAGGGCAAATGTCAAATTAGTCTTAGATAAGCGGTGGTACGAGATATAATCAGAGATGGGAAAGATACCATTGGAAGAAGATTTCGAAAAACCAAACCTATCAGGCTTATTATGGACTCGAAGAGGATATCTCCTATCCTGAGTATCAACCATGTCTAAAGCTGCAGGATTAGAATCAGAAACAGAGATAGGAGTAGAAGGGGTAAGCAGATTAGGTACCTCATTTTCAATCTCCGAAGAATCCGATGGCACTGTAGAATCAACCAAAGGGATATCAGGGTCTGAAGTGGTTAATACAGGAGTGCAAGCATTGTCTAAGTTTTTCCTTGTATAACACTTTTGGAACAGGTGAGGTGATCTATCATCCCCAATTCGAGATTCATTTTCATTTTGGGATTCAGCTTGAGATTCTCCCTCTTTTCCAGAAATCCACACTTTCTTTTCCTCTAACCACACTCGTTCCTCTTCCTTACTACTAATCTCCCCCTGAAGAGGAACTAACGAAATATCATCAGAAAAAAGGATTCTGACTCGCAAAATTCTACATCCATGGAAACATAGTATTTTCCCGTAGGGGGGTGAAAACATTTGTAGCCCCTCTGGGAGCTAGAGTAACCAAGGAAGACACACTTCAGGGCACGAGGATCAAATTTATCTCTGAGATGAGAATGTACGTGAACATAACACACACAACCAAAAATCTTGGGACAGATATTTAAAGCAGAGGGAATAGAGTGAAACTTGGACAACATTTTTAAAGGAGTTTGAAAGTCAATAATGCGAGCAGGCATGCGATTTATGAGAAAGACAGCAGTTGTCACCACCTCAACCCAAAAACGCTTTGGAACTCGCATAGTGAAACATAAAACCTGAGCTACTTCAAGAATGTGTCGATTTTTTCGCTCGGCGATGCCATTTTGTTGAGGTGTGTAAGCACAAGTGGTCTGATGGAGAATGCCGTGAGTCGAGAAGAAGTTTCCAAGGGTTTGATTTACAAACTCACGGCCATTATCAGAATGAATAACTTTAACCCGTGTATGAAATTGTGTCTCAATCATTTTAAAGAATTTTGGAATAACATAGACGACTTCATCCTTTGATTTTAACAAATATATCCAGCAAACTCTGGTACAATCATAATGAAAGAGACAAAATATTTATGATCTGTAGCAGATGGAGTAGAGAAAGGCCCCCAAACATCAGTATGAACACAAGAAAAAGGAACAGAACTTCTATTAAAACTGACTTTGAAAGGTACACGATGATTTTTGGCAAAAATGCATTGTTCACATCGCATACTAGAACTAGGAATATTTTTAAATAGCCATGGGAACAAGTGTTTTAAGTAAGTAAATGAAGGATGACCTAATCGGCAATGCCACAAAAGGATCCTATCTCTGGGAGAGAATTTACTAACAACTTGGAGACCATGGGTATCCTCAGTTTGCAACCGCCTTGTTTCCTCCAAAATATACAACCCTCCTCTCTCTCTCTACCAGTGCCAATCGTCATCTTCGTTCGATTGTCCTGAAATACACAATCAGTAGGTGAGAAAATGACAGAGCAATCAAGATACTTTGTAATCTTACTAATAGATAAGAGATTAGTGGAAAAAGTGGGTGCAAGTAAAACGGATGAGAGAGAGAAAGAAGGTGAAAACGAGACGTTTCCGGCCCCGGTAACTTTAACAGGGGTCCCATTAGCCACTTGAACAAATTGAACGGGCGGAGTTGTCAAGGAATCAAATGTGGAGGAATTACTGGTAAAATGATCGGTAGCTCCAGAATCGATAACCCAACAATCAGATGCAGTAGAAGTAGAGTGCAACCCAAATACACCTTCTCCAGAGAATGAACGAGCAACGTGAGAAGCCATTTTTCAAGAATAGCACCAAATGCAAACCACCAACTGGAGAGCACGGGAACCACCAAACGCAAACAATTCAAATCCAATCTTCAACCAATGAACCCAGAAAAAACTTCAGAACCAAAGCGCATGTGACTAATAAAATACCAACCCAATGTAACAAGTTAACACCACCACCAATAAACTTTAGAACGTGCAAAACCAATACCTTTGGCGACTCAGTACATTATTTAGAAGGCCAACCAAGAAACCAGAGACTGCATTTATTCCTTTTCTCTGCTTTTGGATTCCAAATACAAATTCCAAGTATTGTCGAAACTTTCAGAAATTTTCGCAGAATTAAGGTTTCAAGCTATCATATTGAAGAATGGTTAATTCTGAGAAACCAAGAGAAGGGTGGCTTTTCTGCTGACAGAAATGCTGGGATAAGAATCGGACTGACCAGGACCAGAATCGGGGTGGCGATAATCAAGGCGATCACTACGAATGTTTGGTTATAAAACCCCGTTGCAAGTAGCCAATACTCCTACTTTGGATGCTATTGCTTCAGCTGGTATAAATGGGTGCTGGACTGGCAATGTCTCCAGGAGATATTGCATTTAAATCAAACTTTGCAACCCTTATAGAAGATCGGTACCGGAACAGCAAGGATCAGGCGTGACGTCGTTGGCGTTGGAGCAGCCGGAAAAAGGCGTCGGAACAGTGCGGGTAGGACAGCTGCAGTCGCGAACAGGGAAGAATCGCGAACAGGAGCTGAGTCAGTCGCGAAAAATGAAAAAGGGGAAGGAACCGTTGCCGTGAACAGGAACAGCACCGTCGCCGTCGCCGGGAGGTAAGTCGCGACTCACCTAGGGTTACGGGCTGTCTCTGATACCATGTCGTATTTTGGGAGATAATTTCTTGTATTGATTTTGTGGTAAAATTACAATAGTAAATACAAGATGAAAAGAAAAGAAATTGTACTTTAGTCCCTAACAATTAATAAAGATTACAAGTTGGTAACAAAGATTAATATATATTTCAACTCTTTTAAATAGATTATTTCAGTTCAGGAAACAGAAAGTGTTAGGAAGAACGATGCATCCTAAGTGTGCACAATTGTAGTAATAAAGGTGAAATGGCATCTCGAGAGAAATAACATGGTGATCAAAAATTGATAAATGAGCCCACCATCAAGTATCAGGATTTCTATTGTAAAGATGGATAATAATTCCTGCACATCTACTTAACGGTTTTGTTATCCAGTCAGGAACCGAGATAGAAGTATTACTCTACCTAAATTATTTAAGCAGATCCTATACAGACATAATTTCGATAACCTAAGCAGAAGTAATTAGAGAAGAAATATCATTTGTTAAAACAAACATGCTGAGTACAGAATCTAACCTTTTCATCAGTTTTCTCTCAGTATTAGTCGCATTAGCTGAAGCGAAGGCATCACCTATTGAATTTGGCTTGGCATCCCAACGCTGCAGAGGACTTTGTACAACATATTCGGATAATGCTGAAACGATTGCATTCTCAGGAAATGCTACGTTATCTTTTCTGCGAGGGGAATTGGGACCATATGCACAACCAGAGTCAAATTCATTTTCCGGTTCACAAGAATCCGGAGTCTTCAAACCATCTAGTTGATCTAGACTTGGTAATGGAACAAGACCATCCAAAAGGGTACAGGAATCACTAGCAGATCGTCGGTGTAAAATCCCACTGGAATCTGAGTCCGAATCACTCAACAAATCATTAAGCCATGCTGGCTGCTCCTTAAAAATAGAACTTTGCGATATTGATTTATGGTGTCTCGGGCCCCCAGGATAAAATTCAATATTGCACAAAGTTGGGGAAACTGGACCATGGGCTGGGCGAGTTACAGTTTTCTTTTGATCGGGACACCGAGGAGGAAGATGTACTTGCCTTGACATGACTTATGTTAACTAGCAGCTGAACATCAGAATTTCTAAGCATAATCAAAACTTATTTATATTTTAGCTTAGTTTATTCCAAAACATCAGAATATTATATAACATACCTCATTTGCGTACTGTAACTAGATTAAAACAGACAAATTATTAGAACATATGAAATAAGAACAAAAAAAGCATAAATAATCATGTCTTTCAAGAATCCAATAAAAGAATTTGAACAGTTTTATGAACTTTGTTCAGCCAAGCCACGTGGTTTTGCACTGGAGTTGTGCAAATTACAAGGTTGCAAGAACTTGTGATAATATTTCAAATTATTCTGGTTGTCATTTATTAATTCAACAGATAATAAAAGTAAAAATTTCACCATAGAAGAAATTATGAATCGATTCAATTCAAGAATTCAACCAAACCAAATAATGGCAAAGATGCATTTTAAATTAATACAACAGTACACTAAAGAACAATTAATACAAAACAAAGAAACCAACTTGGAATTACAAAAACAAGAAAACCCAGAAAGTATCTCTCTTTAATTGCTGAAGAGAACAACAAAAAATGAAAAAAAATAATAAGAAGTTAAAAATTAAAACAATCATCAAACCAATACAATAAAAAGTACAACTCAAACTATAATCCTTTCGAATTTGCCATTCAGTTTAACCATATTTCTCAATACCTAAACACCAAATTAGAGAAGCAAAAGAACAGTGTAAGAGAAACCGTACACACACAAAAAAAAAAAAACTGAAAAAAAAAAGAAAAAAGGAGAACNAAAAACTGAAAAAAAAAAAGAAAAAAGGAGAACGCCCATCTATATTCTTCCACTGCAACAACTAGTTCAACACTTTTCCAAAATTCTTAGAACCAAAAAAGAAAGAAAAATCTCGGCATACCTTTTCTTTTTTAAAAGAAATACTCAAGTGAGTGGCTAGTTTCAAGAAAAATAAGAATGCAAAGAATCTTTGAAACTTTAACTCAATTTATAGTAATATATAGAAATCACTATTGCTACATGCATTCTTCTTGTAGATATACAGAAATTAAATTATTGTATGCATTAGAACGAAATTCAGAACTACATTGGAGAATAGTTTTGTACGGAAAGGAGTTTTTGAGTTGTGTACAGCTCTCTCACCTTTGTATTTCTTGCGTGCGTATTAATGTCACCATCTGAAAAAAAGACTAATTTATTGATGTTTTATTTGAAGAAATACAAGGAATATTAAATGAGCCTTTGACCAATAGACTTGGATTTTCTTCCGTGTATATATATCATTTCTGTATATCAGAAATGATCTAATGAGCACCGGTGCTCATTTTATTCTAAGCACCGATGAGTTGGCACATTAATTCATTGGTGGATAAAGATTTTGTAAGTTCCAATCCACCAATGAATTAATGTGCCAACTCATCGGTGCTTAGAATAA